TTTGTTCAAATCATAACCCATGCGCGAATCTAGAGGGGGGTCAGGGGGGGGTTCAGGACCCCACCCCCCTGTAATTTGCAAGGTTATTAAATTCATATACTAAAGCAAGATAAAAGTTACCTTAGACCCACCCACCCCCTCGGAAAACGCAGACCCCCCCCCCTGATAAACGCAAATTTGTGTTAAATCGGTATGAAAAGTCAAAGGTTTGAAGAATTAGAAGTCATCGACTACCCCCTGCCCCCACGAAATAGGATTTTGGAGTTTGGACTTGTTAAGTTTTTTTTTTATTTGCCTGTCAAGAAATTTCTGGGTTGGAGTTTTTTTTTTTTTTTTGGACAGGGGTGGAACCCCCCCCCCCCCCTGGAAAAAATTTCTGGATCCGCGCCCTATACCCCCCGGGGTAGGGTGGGGCCACAATGGCTGATCAAATTTTTACATAGGACTAGATAGGGAAATCTTTTAAAATCGTCTTCTCAATTATTTCAAAGCCATGATTAGTGATATTTATATGGAATCATTCTCATGTAGTGTAGACTCTAGTTTGTTCAAATCATAACCCCAAGAGATAGGATGGGGTCACAATGGGGGATCCAAGTTTAAATTTACATTAAAATATATTTTAAAAATCTTCTTCTCAAGAATAGTAAAGCCATGATTAGTGATACTAATTTTTATATGGAAGCATTTTCGGGTAGTGTAGAATTAAATTTGTAAAAATCATAACCCCCAAGGGTAGGGTGTGGCCACAATGATGGATCAAAGTTTTACATAGAAAAATAAAGGGAAAATCCCAAGAACAGAAAAAGTTATGTTTAGTCATATTGACATGTATGCATCCTCATGTATTGAAGATATAAATTTATTCAAATCATGGCCCTTTTGGGGTAGGGAGGGAAACAATGGGGAATCAAATTCAAATTATTATGAAGTTATATATATATATGAAGAAAACGTTTTTAAAAAATCTTTTTATCAAGAACAGCAAAGTCATATGCTGTATTAATATGAAGGCATTCTCAAGTAGTATTAAAATTCAAGCCCCCCCCCCCCCCTTCAGTAAACTTTTCATTTCTGATAGAGCTGATTTGCGCTTTTTCCTAGCCGATTTGCTCAGGTGAGCGTAAAGATTGCAAAAATGTTCTATTTAATCAAAAATAATCTCTCTATAATGAGTTCTTGTCCATACCATATATATGTACATATATTTTAAAACTGATGTTGTAATCTAAAATTATTGTTTATTTTTTTATGCATGACTGTATTAACTTGTATCAAATCAAAAGAAAATACATGTAGTTAGCTCATTATTGTGTATAATTGGTTAAAGCTTTTCTAATGAATTTGAAATAATATTCCTGGTTGTTTTATAGGTACACAGCATCACTGGTCGTAGTGTTCCTAAGGAGAAGCTAGATAAATACCGAAACCTTTCCTCCCCCTTGACCAAGCCAGTACAATCCCCAGAGCAACCCACCCCAGGAAAAAGCACACTTACTGTGACCTTGACCTCCAAACACCCAGGGACCAAACAGCTGAATGCTGAACCAACTCAAATCTTTCCAGAAAATAAAGGAGAATTTTTCCCTGATTCTCCCCCACAGAAAACTCAAAATGTCACATCTACAAAGGCAGTGCCTAGTACAAAAACTAAAGCTGCCCCATCAGCCCCGACTTCACAAACTAAACAGGCAGCAGCAACTCCGCCTTCAAGGACACAGACTGAAACTGGGTCAAGGTCAAAAGTTCCTACCCAGAATGCACCTGCAGCTTCCTCAGCTGGTGCTCAAGCTAAAGGCAAAACAAGGATAAGGTCAGGATGTATAAATGCTAGAGCCTCTTCTGGGAAAAACGGATTCATGGAGAAGAAACTAAAGAGGATGAATATCCTGAAATGGTGGAACATGTCGATAATGATGGGTCTTTCTGTATAAAATGTCAATTAGGGAAAAAAATGTAAAAATTTTCAAAATTCATAAGAGTCTGAAACACTTTGCTGGGTATGATATACATATAAATTAACTTATTATTATTATGCAGACTGGTAAAATAGCTGTAAAACATATTAACTGATATAACTAATGAAGCCTGTAATATTGATTTTCACAGGTAAAATATAAGCATAATCACTACGTGTACTTTATTTTAATCTAGGATTTATATATTTTCAAGGTTGTTTTTCACTTTTTCCATTCAATGTTGGGTTTTAATGGAAATGTTCACAATAACCAACTGCCATAATCTTTTGTATTTTTCTTCCATTATTCTGCAAAACCTTTATTTGAACTTTGGTTTGTTATTTGTTATGTTGTTATTTATAACCACTGATATTTCTTCTTATGTCTTGATATTATACATTCCCATGGGTATCATGTAAACTAGCCTGTGATTGGTTCATATATTCTTACTATTTATCACATTGCTGCATTAATATATACCGTGTATATCTCAATCAAACTATTTTCTAAAAAATGAATACTTGTACAATAAGTGCAATATATACCATTAAAAATGAATATTTTTCAGTAAATATTGTTCTTTTCATTTGCAAGATTTATGCATTATGATCATAGGAAAAGTACGGTATTGAACAGCAGGTCCAATCTTGCAACTATATAGCCTCAGAGAAAGTACTTGTAGATTTGTCTTGATATGTCTAGCAATCCAAATTATGATAAATACCCTTGCAAAAATATTCCCATCTTTATAATATTTAGGTCACTTTAAAAATTAATGTGAAAAAAATTAAAATTCAAGCTCGTTCAACTGCATCAGAAAGTTTTGCTGTGGACATTACCAAGCTGGAAAGTTTGATATCCCCCTCTTAGTCCTACTGATTCAAAATCAGATCCATGCATGACCCCCTCTACTTGACCGACTGACCAGATATTGCACATATCTCTCGCCATGTGACCTAGTGACTGATATATATAGTCTGTATTCCCTCCTCATTACCTACTGACCAGTTATTAAATCCATATATCACTTATACATGTTATGACATGTTAGCAAATCCATATTCCTTCACATGGCCAACAGGAAAGACATCAAATTCATATCGTCTGACTTTTCATGTATCAACCCACACAACTTCAAAATGATATCAATATTAAAAGCTTCCTAACACGTGACCTACTGACTAGATATCATATCCATGTGACCTTTTGTCCAGATATCAATTCCGTACCCATTCCATGCGACATTTGTCCAGATATCAGTATCATACCCCTTCCCTATGACCTACTGACCAGATATCAATTCCATATTCTTCTGGTACCTACTGGCTTGTTAGCAAATCCATTCCCTCCCCCATGAGTTTTAGTATTGGACCAGACACCAGATTCTCCATGATTTACTGATCAGGTATCGGTTACATACCTTCCTCCATATGGACTGCTGACTAGATATCAATTACCTCCCTTCCATGTGACTACTGATAGACAAGTCATTATGATCTTCCATTGGTCGACTCACTTGATATTTATTCCTTGTCCACCTACATTTGACCTACTTACCAGTAATAAATCCATGTCCCTTCCATCTTTTATGACCTGCTATCAATTCTGCCCCCCCCCCCTCCCCCCTCTCTGTGAACTTACTGACCATATTATTCTATAAACCTCAAAATAATTTCAACATTGCACTTTATTTGAGTTTTTTATTTTTAATTTCAACTTTACCTTATGACACATTAAGACAATGGAATAATGTTTAAAATAATGCCTTGAAATAATGTTTAGTCTTATGTTCCATAAGGTCATAATAACCTCAATAAAGTTCCATACAATACATATACACCAGTACTTGTATTTAATTATGGGCAGTGGAAATGAAGATACATTGTAAATTGTATTCATGACAATAAAATTGTTTACAAAATTCAATTCATATATTCAAACATGTACAGTTTAACAAAAGAAAAAGTCTCTATAGAAAAAGAGAACAAAAAATACATGTATGTCTAGTGAGAAGTTAAAAGATGAATTTTTCATGGAGGAAAGTCGTATTAAGATGGATACAAAGCGATAGTTCATTTTCAAATTACGTAACTTTAAACAATTTTCAAACACACGAATACATGTACAAATATAAACTGTACTGGTAAATCCTTTAGGATTTTGGGTTTTGGTTGAGCTTCACACACAACAATTAGGTAAATGTTTCACAATTTATAAACACAAAACTAGCTACATTTAGTTACAAGTATTTATGTACAGGTACTTCAAACAGTGAACACTTCATAACAGTATTACTGGTTTTGACTTGAAAAGGGCCCAACAGAACCCTTTCAATACAATATAAAACATTGCAAGAATGTGATTATTTTGAGCACACAGAATCTTGATGCTCACAGTACCCCCTTGATACAATAATAAAACATTACATGTATGTAATTATTGTTGAGCATACAAAAATTTAATGAATAGAAAATTAAAAGGAAAGTCCATAAACATTTAAATGGGTAACATTAATATTAATCTACAACTCTACATCATATATATAAATGAAAATAAATAAGCACATTTTTAACAAAATACACTTTTTATAAATAAAATACATTAATATTATTACACAAAGGAGTCCTGTGTAACATATTTCTACAATACAGTTATATAAATGCAATAATCAAGCTCATTCAGGCAATTTACATCCCTTGATTTAAAAAAAATTACATGAAATATTACATGTGTATATTTTGTAACAATTATACATGTTGTTTGAGATCTTGACATTTGACCTTTTTACCTAAAAATCAATAGGGGCCATGTTTGAGGATTTGAAAGTATTGAAGTGAATTTTGAAATCATTTCATGCCATAAGGGAATTTGTGACCAAAAAATCAAAAGGGTCCTACGGTTTGAGAGAACAACACTTTATATTTCACTGAAAAAGATCAAATCCTTTTTTTTCTGAAAACCATTTTAGGCAACTTATAAATCTCTGACCTTGGTTTTTGATCTTTTGTCCTCCAAAACAATAGTTTTTTTTTAAAGTTATGAGAAAGTATACCTGGTAATACAAAATTTTATGTCAAAAGTTGATTAGTTTTTATACATATCATGTGGAAATTAAAGAATACTTGGTGTGAAACTGTGACCTTGGCCCTTCACCTTTAACTCTGAAATCAATTGAGAGTCTTACTACGTTGGAAAAAGTCTTTGCCTATTCATTACAAAAATTAAAAAAAATATCATCTTGGAAACCATTTTATGTAAAAACATGAATTTCTGACATTGACCTTTGATGTGAATCCATATTTTAATATGGGTATTATTTTATTAATTCAGAGTTATCATAAGACTTCAGAGATGTCATCTACAAACTAAGTGTTATACACAGACAGAAAGACAAACGAACAAATGGATCAACCAAAATTAATATCCCTTGCTTTCAGAGTAAGGAGCAAAATACACTTCCTAGAACGGAAGAACACCTTTTGTTACAGATAATGGAAGCATAATCATAAAGAATATAATAGCGTTTCTTAACAATGCCTTCCCTTCTTTTGGCACTAAGTAATTTGTTAAGGTCCCAGTTATTTTTGAAATTTCATGGCTAGCACAAATAAATATAAAAGATGTCACTATCACATTTAATACTGGATACGAGGGCATCAACACTAAAACTCCATAAGTGTCAGCTGCTAGCCATATATGGTACTGTGCTATAAACAACTGAAAGATAAAAAGAGAAAACAAACATTAGAAGCTTCGACAATTGAATCCCCTTCCCCCCAATAATTACAAAATTCACAGCCCTGACAAAACAAATTCCTATAAATGCATTCACTGAACTAAAATAACTAATGACTCTGCACTTTTCGTTATTTCAAACATATTTTAAAAGACGAACAAAATGGGTTATAAGTGAGGCATATTAGAGCTTTTTTGCCTCAATAAAAGAAGAGCTAAGGCCACTCACCTCTAAAGATATTTTGCCAAACCAGGCAAAGAATGAACTATATCTGGTCCGCACCCAGCCTAGGACATTCCTGACTATCACATAGGAGAATAACTGTAAACATTAATGGAGATCACATCAGATATGATAAATCATTACATTTACAATAGTTCATACACTTCACCAAAGTTCATCCTGAAAATCTGCATTGAGTGACCTGGGAAATTTTTTTAACCAGGTGTGTAGTTATTTTGATGAGGCCATTCTTGAATCTGTATATATAGGAGTTGAGTTTACCAAGAAATGATGTCCCCATGAACCAACCACATTTTGCTTTGCCACAAACAATGACACCCTCCCCCCCCCTCAATTTAAATGATTCCACAGTATACAATTGAGTACTTACAGGTAGAGCTACTAGGTAGGAGTGAGTATCATTACACTCGGTTTTGTTCTTACACAGGAATGAAAAAATGGCATAACTCTGAAACAATAGAGAAATAAAAAGTTATTAAATATACTTTGTGTTAACAGTACAACTATCATTAATGATTTATTTGCTAGAAAAAAGTTAAATGATAATTAGTATACATTTAAATATTACAGTAAACTAACTATTATACTCTGTGACAAATATTCACGTATTAAAGTAGGTCACCAAACTCACGAATTTTTCTCGCATGCAAATAAAAGTTAGTTTACAGTATATTATCGACAGAAAAACTGCCTGACCCCTAATCCTAAGAATCCTAGGAAGGTGAGACACAGGGAGACGCTGGTAGAGAAGAGAGAGTTTGTGTGATTGTCTGATATCACTCCTTTCTTCAGTAGCAAGTGGTAGCCAAACGCAAACACCATCCCATACACTACACTCTGAAAACATAAAATGCCATCCCATACACTACAATCTGAAAAATTACACTCTGAAAATATAGATCTAAATATCATCCTGTTAATTACACTTAATATTAAAATATAAAAACTGTTTGAAAACTTTTTAATTCATTCTCTGAACATATAAAACCACATTAGTACAAATACATTCTGTAAAAAATATACAACAAAAAAAGGTCCATTGTTTCCTCGAGCTCTTAGAATCACAGTCTTTTGGTCAGAATTGCATATTTAGCAATAATTTGAATAGCAATACAAGACTGTATAAAATGAAATTTCTTTTTTTTTGAAACACTTACATATCTATCTAATGTCCATCTAAACCTCCACTCATGTAAGGAATCATCTGAACGAACAAACAGGGCTTTAATTGGCCTCATCAAAAATACTTTCTCAAATAAAACCTGTAAAAAAAGAGTTTTAAAGATAAACTATATACATGTATAAAGCTCATTATAGCTTGATCTTGACTATTTTTTTTAATTTGTCTAAAATACACTGTAACATCATAGATTGACTATTTGTTTAAATTGTATAATTTAAACACCATAGCTTGACCATTTGTTTAATTTGTCTAGTTTTTAAACTAAAAAAGATTTTTATAACTCTAATTTGCCTTACCTCTGACATAAAGAAGAGAGTTATCACAGTGGTCAGGATGATCAATTTAATTATCATATACAGGTAATGTAAGTTGCTTGCTACAAAAAAAAGGTAACGTAATTACAAATACAAGCTATATTTATCAAACACAGAATTCTTAATCACACAGTAATGTTTTTAGAAACATTTGTTAGGCCATTATTTACAAAATGAATAGTAAATAGATAATTCCGTTTTTTCCTGCTCATGACCAGCAGCACACGGCAAATGTGACTAGTCGGCAGGTGATGCTCACTACTCCATGGCACCTGATCCCACCTCTGATTTTTTGTTGGAGGTCTTTGATTGCTTTGTGCAAATTTGTATTGTGTAAAGGACTTTTAAGCTTGAATACTCTTTGGTATTACCATATATTTCATTACAGACCTTTGAACAGACATGCAATCAGCGAGCATGAAGAGGCTAGGTGAGGGTAAACGGTAAACAGAAATTAAAAGAATTTGACATTGGAATGAAAATTCTGGAGTTTAATTCTTGTATCGGATTAATTTAAGAATATTTGCTATAGGAATTTTTTTTCCAGAAGCTATGTTTTAACTTACTATCACTAGAAGCTGCTGAAATTCTTGGCCATATCGCCATGGTTAAGTAAACTATGGTAAACCAAAAGGAAACCAGCGGTACAAAGTAATAGAACTGGTAAGGGCGGTTCATCACAAAACACAGCACCACAACCAGAAAATTTAACCGGAACATCACCTATGGAAAACAATTTTGAGAATTTTAAAATTATGCTCGCATGAAAAACAAATAAATTTCTTGTTGAGTTCCGAATAAAAATCCTTACAAGATCATAATGTATGAAAAAGAGGCAAAATCTGTCATATTGCCTCAAATTCAAACCTTTTAGTAAAGGCTTGTTTGTTGGGTATGGAGTAAAGAGTTAAGCTATTTCTTTGTTTCTGTAAACACTAAGCTATTTTTTCTGTTTCTATAAATGTTAAAACAGTACTTCTCTATTGAAATATTATCCAATTGAACAGGACATCACACTGAATCAAATGTACACAATCTTTAAGACTAAAATGTTAGTAATTTTCATTCATTTGAAATTCAAAATAAATTGAGTTAAATAAGCACTCTTTTCTTCCAGAATATTTGAAAGATTTGAAGCCACCTTCTTTATTAACACACTTTAACAAACACACATCAAAAAGGATGACAAGCAAATTGATTTTATAGGCTACATACAAATGACACAGATCATCATTTCAAACATATGTGTAACTCAGAACCATGCTGTTATTTTTCACTTACTTCCACATAATATCTGAAGTCATACCAGCCACAACATCGTACATAACAACTATGCTGAAATTGACATACACCGATACGTTACACAAAGCTGTTATACAATCTAGAACAGTCATTACATTCACCTCTTAAATCATTCTTCACAATTATACAAATATTAAGATGCTTCTGCTTATGAATATTTGTTTAGCAGAAGCATATCAGAGCAGCTTTTCTTAATAATTTAATCAGCGATTATATTTATTTGCCAACAAATATTGAACTGGTAGGATTTCATATACAGTTTTTATGTAGTTTAAAATGATAAGCACAATCATGCAATTCCTGATTCAACTAGCTGAACAAGCATGCATTCTACAAAGTCTATGGTAAATACATGTAGCTTAGGAGCAATGTTGTTTTATCCCATGTTTACCACTTTATTCCATGGATATCACTCTTTTTTTTTATATATCCCACAATTGTGATGTTACAATGCGTTTAGTGTGAAGAAAAGTGGAATCCAATATTAAAATCATTTAAAACATTGATAGTGATGTAAAACATGGAATAAAAGAAATCTCCCACATCTTGTGGTTAGATATAATTTTTATCCAACTCGTTGTGTGTTTTTATTTCCCTTGCCAAGCTAGGGAAGAAAAAAACACACACAGCTCATTGGATAAAAATCATATACAACCACATACCATGGGAGACCCTATACATGTATTCACTAAATATTAAATAATGGAGTCAATAATTTATGTTTGAGTTTATTGAACTTTATTATTCTCGAAATTTTAAGATAAATTATTTTCTAACTAAAACCTCAAATTTGTAATATTTGAATTTAAAACAGTAATTTAAAATTTACGTTCAATCTGTTGATCATATTGATTGTCCAAATTTGTTACACTATAAAACAGCATCAACAAATACATGAAAAATTCTAAATCATATCTACTTCAACACAACCCCTAATGTCCACTCCTAGCAGTGACCTTTAACCTCATGCTTGGCAGTGACCTTTGACCTCTTACCTGACAGTATCTTTGGACACTATAGTCAGCTTTGTTCCAGAAATAGGAGAAATGTCCGTAGCCCGTCAGAAACAGGTAGGCTGACACCAGCACTCGGATATGCATGTAGATGGGTAACACCTGTTTATTAAATGCAGGCACAATGACTGTTCTGAATGTAAATTACCACAATTGAATTTGGAAACGATTCTGTTAACTTTGCGAAAGAAAATGCCTTAAATAATGACAAAGCATAATTAAAATTTGATTTTGTCATTTTTGTCATTGAATTTGATTTATGGAGATGAAAAAATGTGGCAACTTGGAGGAAATGAAGTTCAAATTAAGGTAAAAGATAGAGATGTGGATACAAGTAAAAAATAAACATCCATTAACTCCACCCCCAATCTCCCACCCCCATGAATTTGACTTTTACCTTGCTGGCTCCAGTCAAATGGTAGATCATTATCATTAGCTGCATCCAGCCCTTCCATTCATCTGTCTGATCTCGGTGTAAAACTTTGGTCTGAAAAATTGGCATAGTTGTGATATACAAATACAACTACATATTCATAATAATGACTTCACACATGATGAATAGTTTAAAGATGGTATGTTGAACTTTTAAATATTTGTGTGGTGCCATGGTGTATCACATGTCAAAGAAAAAGATTTTGTTTAATTTACATAGCATTCTAAGTGATCAGTTAGCACACACACATCTGTAGTTAACTTACCTGGTCTGTGTTCTCAGTGAAAAAGAAGCCCAAGATCATAAGGTACGCAAACGGCAAGAGGAAATTAACGTGGGTGTAGTACTTGTTCTCCTTCATGAAGAAATTAGTCCTATAAAATAACAGTTATGCAATATGTAATTTACCAATAATGGGGAGAATCTAATTTGTTAACTGTAGACACAATATACATGTATTTAGGATGCATAATTTTCAAAGTAATCTACAAATTTTTGCTCTAACAATATTTGGTTAAATACAGGCACTTCCATTTACCTTACTAAATATCACACCATAAATGCATAAGTGAAAGTAACTCATCTTCACCCTGTTAACAAGCATTTTTATGGAGTGTAAACAATGAGCGAAATAAAGTCAAGGAAGAGAAAAATCACAGTTTAGAATTATTTCCATGGATTTTACCTGTCACAGAGAAATGCGTATGTCATGATCAGTCCCAGTTTGCCCAAACACACCATGATCTCATACACCGTGTCCGGCCAGGCTTTCTCTGAGGGTGTAACGAATGACCTGCCATTCCGAATACCACTATCTGAAATAGCAGTCACGAAAACTTTGATTTTATACCATAATTCTCAACAAAAATTTTCAAGCTCATAATCTTACTTCAAATGTTTCAAAGTGTTTATTATATTAACCATTAAATTCATTCATAAAGAGTTCTGCAAATTAAAGTTTCATATCCATGTGGAATAGAGATCACAGTTTCTTGCAAAAAAGAACTATTTAATATTTTCACTGACAAATCTGAGTGATTTGTACTTGTAGATGGACTGTATGACAAGTTTGAGTGTACTGTACTAGTAAATAAACTTTATGAGAAATCTGAGTGTATTGTACTTGTAGATGGATTGTATGACAAATTCAAGTGTATTGTACTTGTAGATGGAATGAATGACAAATCTGGGTGTACTGTACTTGTAGATAAACTGTATGATAAATCTGGGTGTACTGTACTTGTAGATAAACTGTATGACAAATTTAAGTGTATTGTACTTGTAGATGGAATGAATGACAAATCTGAGTGTACTGTACTTGTAAATGAACTGCATGATAAATCTGGGCGTACTGTACTTGTAGATGAATTGTTACCTGCCCTGGCTTTACTGCCATTGCGTCGGATTCTCCTTCTGTACAAGAACATGGCTATCGCTGACAGGAGACTGTAAAATTCATAATATATATATGTACAGTAAAACTCGTTTAGTACGAACACAGATATTGCGAATTCACGGATATAGCGAAGTCATCTTTGATCCCCAACTATATAAATTATACATATTTTTTATACGGATATAACGAATTACGGATATAGCGAAGTAATTTCAAATGTCCCAAAGACTTCGTTATAACCGAGTTTTGCTGTACCAACAATCTTTCTTTAAATTTAGAAATGTACAGGCAATGGAAATGTACTGTTTATTTCTTCATTTATATAAAATAAATTTCATAACATGAAAATACTTCAGCAGTGGAAATTCTTAGCTATAAGACAAAGAGATTGATTTGTTTATAACTTTATCTGGACCCTATTTAACTCTTCTCCCTCCCTCCTCCCCCTCTACTTCAGTTATGTCAGACTCACCACACCAGGAAGAAAGACGCTGTGATAATCTGTATAGAGGTCACAGAATCAGGCACCCGACAACATGTTCCGTCCTTGTGGTTCATATGATCATTACAGTACATGTTCATCAACATCTGGATATCCTTTAAACAAAACATGTTGTAATAAATCCAAGTGTACATCATGTTTTATGACTGTAATAAATTTTGAATCTATTGTACATCATGTTTATACAGCATGGTTCATAACTATTTTGTTGTTATTTACTTCCACTGAGGGATAAAATCCCCCCTCCAAAAAAATTCTTCATTTATAACTTACACATATGACACATATATCTGCATAAATATACATTGTACTCACAAGTTCCAGAGCATTTTTCGACATATGAAGGCCATCCAGGAGAGAGTTGTCATGTATTCCCTGGGCCACCAGTCGGGAGGAGCTCCATAACTTGGCTTCACTCCCGCCACTGTAATTAAGAAAGGGAGGGTTAATGAAAAACACAAAATAAACAGAGTGAATGATTAAACAATCAGTAAAATGGCAAGTGAATGGAGTAGTGCCATTGGTGCATGAATGTTGAATGCTGCAGTTCAAAGGTCAAGTGTGCAAAAAGATTTTGAAGTCCAATTTCTTATTCTTCATGTATTTCAACCTTGATCTCTTGGGTTCTTGGATATCTTGATTTTTTTTCTTTATCCCAAGAAGTTAGAGATACAAGTTTTAAGAATTACTCCTTCATCGGATTCTATATAATTGTTATAATATCAAGAGAATTAGATACAGTGTATTTTCTTACAGTATATCAATGGCTACTTTGTTGTAAGCGTCCACTTGTTGATTGGTGATCATTGACCTGTTCAGGTAGAGCTTGGATTCATCTACAGGATCTGTCAAAATCAAAGAACTGGATGAGCTGGTCAATTTACAAACAAAATGTATCCCCCCCCCCCACTAAATTATGTTTATATATTGAATATATTTTAAACTGACCAACAAAAAAATTTTCCATACTATGACAAATGTGTGTCAATAAAACTTTGTTTACCTTGCAACATCCATATAATTTGAGTGCTATCTTTCAACTTCAAGATGTAAGGCAGGATCATGGTCAGGTTCACTGGGGAAAAAATAGGAAAAAAAACGCATTATTTAAAACAAGAGGCCCAAGGGCCTTGAATCGCTCTTCTGATAAATTGTACAATCTATCACTTCTATTAGAAGCCTCAAACTCTATTAGTATCATAAGACCCAAAATGCATCAACTTACAAAGTATGATAATATTTAGCCAGTTAAGACTGAAGATATTATAATATAATTATAAAATACCATAAGTAGGTCACAGTGACCTACCTTTTGATTGGAATTTTCTGAGGACTCGAGATACATTAATTGACAAAGACTGATGATTCTAATTAAATAAGTACCTGAGATATTCAAAAGTAGGTCACCATGACCTACTTTTTGGTCAACATTCTCTGAAAACCCAAGATGCATCATCTGACAAAGTTTGAAAATTCTAAGCCAATTAGTTCCAGAGATAATTAAATATAGCCATCAAATGTCAAAAGTAGGTCACGGTGACCTACTTTTTGGTCGACGTTATCCAAACACCCAAGATGCCTAAACTGATAAAATTTGCTGATTCTAAGCCAATAAGTACCTGAGATATTCAAAAGTAGGTCACCGTGACCTACTTCTTGTTGGACATTCAATGAAACCGTAAGATGCCTCAACTGACAAAGTTTGATGATCCTGAGCCAGTAAGTACCAGATATAATTAAATATAGCCATAAAATGTCAAAAGTAGGTCACAGTGACCTACTTTTTGGTGAACTAAGTTCTCCGAAAACCCAAGGTGCCTAAACTGACAAAGTTTGATGATTCTAAGCTAATACGTACCTGAGATATTCAAAAGTAGGTCACTGTGACCTACTTTTTGGTCACATTCTAAAACCCAAGATGCATCAACTGACAAAGTTTGATGATTTTAGGTCAAAAAGTACAAGAGATACTTAATTATAGCTACAAAATGTCAAAAGTAGGTCACCATGACCTACTTTTTGGTCGTCACTCTCCGATAACTAAATATGCATCCACTCACAAAGTTTGATGATTCTAAGCCAATAAATACCTAAGATACTGAAATATAGCCATAAAATGTCGAAAGTAGGTCATCGTGACCTACATTTTGGTCGACATTTTTCAAAAACCCAAGATGCATCTACTGACCAAGTTTGATGATCGTAGGTCTGAAGGTAATCAAAATATGCATTTTAAACAATTTGAAAACAAATGTCGGCAAAATTCAAAAAGTAGGTCAGTGACCTACTTTTTCATAAATATGTTTTAAGGTCCCTAGATGCATCAAAGTACAAGATTTGATGATTCTAAACCTCCCGGTGTCTGAAATAATGGGATTTAATGTTTTTAAATGGATAAGTCATAAAGTTCAAAAAGTAGGTCACGGTGACCTACTTTTAAGTTGTCATTGTTCTCTGCATCAACTGACAAAGTTTGATGATCATAGGCCTTAAAGTGTCCAAAATATGCCTTCAAATCAATTTGAAAACAAATCCCCACAAAATTTAAAAAGTAGGTCACCGTGACCTACTTTTGAGTTAACATGATGTGAAGTCGTAAGATGCATCAACTTACAAGATTTGATGATCCTAGTCCTTATAGTACAAAATATACACGTTTTTATTAATTGTAAATTTAGGTCAACTTTGAAGTGACCTTGAGACCACGCCCTTTGCCCCAGGGTCATGCCTTGAACAATTTTTAATCTTCAACATATCCTTATCCTTGCATGTAAGTTTGGTAAAAATCTGCCTAGTGGTTCTGGAGAAGAAGATTTTTTAGCAACCAGTACTTTTTGTTTTGTTTTCCTGATTATCTCCCCTTGTTTTAGGGTCCCAACCCTTGTTTTAGTAAAAAAGGTAGCCCTTGGGCCAGGGATACCCTGTGACAAATTTGGTACTGATTGGCCAAGGGGTTCTTGAGTTATGGCCCATATTCTAAAAAGTTAACGCACACCGCACACCGCACAAATGGCCATAGCATTAGCTCTTTGAGCCTTTGGCTCAGAAGAGCTAAAAATGTAGGCATACTTCTCAAAATGGGATTAATTTATGCAATGTACATGAACGCAAATTTCCACAGAAATCTGTCACAATTTACTTAGAGTTCATTGAGGACATAGAATAGCAATCCAAAGATCGGTTTACTGTGGAATCATGGAATCATTTTAAATGGTAGATTCAAAGAATCAATATCATTATGTTTCCACAACAAAATATTCTTGGGGATGCTTTGTACATAAGGGTGATCTATGAAATCCACAAACATGAGCTCTCCCATAAACAACAGTGATTCCACAGTAATTTTTACCAGCAGATTGAACAGAGATTCCACAAAATTATGACCCCATGGAAAAAAAAGTAGATTTAAAGTATTTCAGTCACAGTATGTCAGTCAAATTTAGAAAGGTGAAGCAACTTCAGACACCATGATCAGCAGTGTCTTGAACTTAGCTATCCTACTTCTCTGTGTCTTGGTGCATTTCAAATGGGTGAACTATGTTCCACGAGTATATATCTTGAAAATTTAATTCAAAATTTACCAGAAATAATCTTTTTCTTCTGCTTAGTACACATATAAAATGAAATCTGACTTAACATTTGCATATAAGTAGAGAAAATCATCTATCATACTTAGTCTAATCTCTTCCCATGAAAATATAGGTTGGTATCACCTATTCCTGACTTATAAAATAAACTCTTACATTCAAAGCTCTTCACAGCCTCTTCTGATGCATTGAACTGTTTAATGCTCCACTGGAATAGACAACAGAATATTAATTTTTTTGTCTCATAAGGGCTCACAAAAAATCACTAACATGATAAAATTCATAACTTACGAAAAACAAACTTAAATTGATGACATCATTAAAAATGCTTTTGCCTCTGGTGCTGGACATCGTAACAATTTTTTTTTATTTTGTAAAGAGGTTTATGTACAATAACTCACCGTCCCACTGCCTGTGATCAGGAGATTTGGTCTGGAATTTTTCTCTGCCATTAACCAGTTCTTATACACATCATACATGGAGGAGTTCACCATAGGATGCCACAAAAAGTCCTAAAAATAAAATTTCAGTTTCATTTTATTAATAAATGTCAAATGTACTTACAAGTGTTTACAATAATCAACAATTATATACAGAGGTTTTATGGTAAGAACCAGGTTAGATTTTCATCTTCAAATTTCAAATGGGAGCAATTCATATTTTGAAACAAAAATCTAAGTAAAGTAATCGAAAGGTATAGAAAGTTCACACAGGAGGATTATCCAAACTTACAGCTGTGACGCTATATTTTCTTGTCCTCAAAGTGAAGATCATGGTGAGCTACATGTTCCTCTACCTTATATATCAGAAGATTTACAAACTCAAAATAAAGCTGTCGAATTCGAGAATCTCCTAGGAATGTGATATGATTCTGTTCTCCCCAATAGTAAATATAATGCATACATCGCCGTGCATGTCTGGAAAAAAAAACAAGATTAATTTTCTCTTTTGAATTTTTACAATTTTTATGCCAAAAATCATCAAGAATCTTAAGAAAATAATTTTTTTTTGCCTTCAGCTTTAAAATTGAAATTCGCGTAGACCATACTGATAAGAAAAGGAGATTTTTGTTATCTTGCAAAAGTTAGCTTTCCTTTGAGGGGGGGGGGGGGGGGGGATCAATGGGCATAAAGCACTATCATTCCCAGCTTTATAAAATGTTACAAATGAAATACGGGACCCATGAAATACAGTATGTATGTTCATTTTTTTTTATCTTGCCCAATACTGTGACAATACAGAAACAGATCAATATGGTACAATAACGTTTGAAGGTAGAAAATATTTACAGGTATATTACGCAAGGTATATATCGAAAAAAAAAGAGTATTACATACATTGGAATACATGTAACTCATAAGAATTTGAAATTTTTAATTTCACTGGAATAAAATCCATCCTTCTAATTTTAATTATTCATCAGGCTTTATACATACACTCACACTTTTGTGTATTTATGCATCATACATCCATATGGCTGCCATGTATTATACCCTGGGAAACGCCCATCACTTAATAGCCACTTACAGGAGTCATTGCCTGGAAAACAAATGAAATATTCAATCAACCAACTTCTTCTGCACAACTGAATTATCAGAACACGTACATTCAAAGCTTATAGTTTTTAAAAAGAATAAATTAAGTTTGACATTCACAGACTTGATAACACTGTGAATAAGAATGTAATTCAGTTTATTCCTTTTTTTCTTTTTTTTAAAGAATGTGATTTATATGTTTACTCATGACATTAATTCTCTATTTTCATTCATCTCTTGATAGCTCTGCAAATGATACATAAACTTATGTTGTTGGGCAGCTAAGAGATGGAAATTTTGCAAATATAGCTTAATAAAGCTAGATAGCTATATCAAGCTATCATATATACTTGCCTAAAAGTCGGTTGTATTTAATAAGCTTATATATATATCAGAGGGACTGACCTCATATATTTCATTCTTTTAATAGCTCGCCTTTAAGTCGGACAAAGTTTTGGACCAGATATTAACTTCCAAAAACCCCACTTATAGGCAAGTATAAATGGTATAACTAAATCAAGTGATTGTGCCAGACCTGACTAAACAGCTGGTCATGATGACATTCATAACTTTGTCCCCATGACCAGCTGTTTTCCACAACTCTGAAATACTAGTTAGCAAATCTGATATCAACAGAGAGACTTCAAACACAGATAAACCACTAAATATTGCCCTTACGACTGTCCGGGATTTAACTTCTTTTAACCATTGATTATGTTAATATCTTTATTATAAATGCTCAGAATTTCTTAGCTGCAGATCTGTAGCTCTCCAAAAAAATATATTGATAGACTGGAGAGCTACAGTGCCACCCATTGAAAAAATGTATATTTATTGCGCACAAAAAAGTGCGCTCGATTCTTGATTAATTTTTCCAAATTCTCACCTCAATTGCAAAAAATGGAAGATTTAAATTAAAGAAAAAATCCTCTCTCCTCTATCAAGTTCTCTTGTAGTTGATATCTGAACGAAGCATATTGGACTGAATTATCTTTGAAACCAAAATGGCAGTATAAATAAGCGAAATGTCCGATGATTGCAATATCAGGACCAGGAGGACTATTAACAACAATTATGAGGAATGTTTTGTTGTGGAAAGAGTCAAAGAATATGTTAGGAACACACGGTTAGTAATATTTTGAGATTACAGCTTTAAAAACATGGAGAAATAAATCGAGAACTGAGCGCATTATTTTGTGCGCAATAAATATACAGTTTTTTCAATGGGTGGCTCTGTAGCTCTCCGGTCTATCAATAATTTTCTTCGGAGAGCTACAAATCTGCAGCTAAGAATTTCTTAAATTTTTTAGACACATTGTTTAAATTATATTTACTATGCTGAGTTAGCATTGTCACCTGCCAAAATACGAGAGGGAACCTTAAAATGGACTGAATGTAAGAATGTTATAATATTATGAAGTACATAGATGTCTAATGAAGTAAATGTGATGCTTTAAAAAAAAATTGCGACTATTTCGGAACGGTTAAAATCACTTTGAACCATCTTATTTTGCCAGTCCGAACGACTGACAATCTTAAAAAAGATTTCCACAACTCAGTACTCTGGTATTTTATTGGAGGAAGATGATGAATGTGTCATAATGTGACACACTGCCCAACAACACATAACTACCATGCCTACACAACACATCGGGAGTACCGACACTGACGGTTTTATACCTGAATGAAAACTTACCATACTTAAGATGCAGTACCCCATGATACATAACAAACCCACAAACTAGACAAAATGCTAAGATTTTGGCATTTTCAATGTTTAAATAGTATGTTATTTCATTAGTCGTCGATCCTCCTCGATTGTTGTCGGCCATCGTTTCTAATCGATATTAAATCGTTCGTGAAATAATTCGGTCACATTCAAACAGATTCTGCAACCAGCAAAATTTAAAAAAAAAATGTTTTACTTACGTATAATTCTTAAATAGAGATATTTTTCTCCAGTTGAACTGGCTCCATATTGAAGAGAAAAAAATAACAACAATATGTTCTATATTTGCATCGTTTTTACGGGGGGGGGGGGGGGGGGGGGGGGGGTTAAATGTAAAAATTGAGGGGGGAATGGCAAAAAAAAGCGACGGTGAAAAAAGAAACACGGAGAGAGAGAAAAAATTCCTCCAAAAACATAAACATTATGCGCTTCGCGTTTATTCGCAAAAGTTAAGCGTTTTAATGCGAAAATACGTTACGCGTAATATCGCGAAAGTTTCGCGCTTATTCGTGAAATAAACGCATTTTAAATACCGCGAAAGCGAAAAAATCAGTATTTTTCTAACGAAAGTGAGCCCTATGGGTTTTTGTACAGTGGGCTTTCGCAAAAGATCTACAAAAAGCGCAAATTAAAAATGAAAAGAAATAAAAGAAAAAAAGCCTGCACATAAGTTAAAGAGTTATGACTTGTGGTTCCAAAGAAAAAAACGGAATTGTCATGATCACATGCCTATTCGTATTTATATTCCTTAAAATGTATTTCATAAAATTGATACCCCTTTTCAAACCTGAAATGATAATAAATGCACCCCACCCCCCCATTTATTAAAATTGCTTCCATGAATTAAAACTGAATTTTGTGTACATATTTACTGCTTTTTTAATAATTGTCTTTCTGAACGTGCATTTCTTCTGATACATGTAAATATTATGTTTTTTCACATTGTTTGTTCGTTAGATTTTCCTCTCTTAATTATTCCGAAAGGAGTCTTTATATGTCAACGTCAGTCTGTTTATAGGTAAATTTGTCACTATATATATCATGCAGTAATTTATCTTAAAAGGGAGATCGAGCGAAAGAAAAAAAAAGAAAGAAAGAAATTTTATAATTAAGGGATGAAATCAACTTTTTATTTATAAATTCAAAATATTTTAGCCTTGAAATTTGTGAAGGATCAAAGCGGGTTATAAACCCCTATAAATGTCCATCCGTTGATAAACATGCATATTCCGTATTAACTAAATTTAAAAAAAAATAGTTTATTTTTCGGTATCTTTTGTTATAAGAATAAAACACAAGAATAGAATTAACACCCCCCACCCCCCACCCCATCCCACCCCCAACTATGTCTTTATTCTTGTGTTATGACTCGTTTCTAATTTTCTTTTCAATGTTAATTTATATGAGACCGAACAATTTGTTTTAAGGGTCATATTGTTAAATGTACGAATTTAACATAATAATTTTCAGCTTTTATTTTACAAGCATTTTGGTATTTAGTGCTATCTAAAGGGAATTCCCTTAGAAGTGATTCCCTTCCAAAACGAGACAGTATGTAGATTCGTGACGTCATTATGGAAAATGGCGGCTTCCAAATCGAAATGGCTTCTTTATGTCAAAATGTGTTCAAATGATACCATGTCTTGACTATATTGTTTCTTGAATCATATATTTTCATGAAGCAATATGCCCTAGTATTATGATGACGGACAAATTCGGTAAGTTTAATGTCGTGAAACAAAAGCATAGAGTTGGGTTGTGTGTAATGTCAATGTTTTTTTGTAAACAAATGACCTCTTTTTACAATCCTTTCAATTTTCAAATGGTATGTAACTCTTCAAATATTTATCAATAGACTTTATGTAAATGGACGTCATTCATGTTCACATATAAATGAGGGGTTAGGTTTTAATTGAGTATTTGTACTATATCCACATACCCTGCAGTTTTCTGACTTGGATTTCATTCAAGTTGTCAAGAGAAAACCAAGATGATGTTTGTCACTTTTTCAAATAAAATTGGGCCTAAGTAGTGAAATGAAATTTTTGATAGAAAGGCAAAGATATAATTTTCAGGATTTCGTACAACATGTTATGTTGTGATGTTAATGTTTTTGTCACTGAGTGAAAAACTAAAACTGCATGCTGACATGAGGCTCACACGCTAACTGAATCTTGTGTATACTAAATGATTAAAAAACCCACGCACATACGTAAGCCAAGGGATAAGTCCGAGTAGTTAGTTTTAAACACTGTGTGCAATCGAAATTATTAATCATTTTGTGACCTCTGACCTTACACAACAAATGAGAATTAGATAAGAAAGAGCTTGTATTATGTCTCATGAGAACAATTAACAGGAATGAACCAGCAAATACTTTCAAATTAACAAAATAAATGAGCAAATTCCATTCTTTAACATTTAACCCACATTAGTCCAAACTTTTAAAGCACTATCATTTTACAGCATCTACAATATTTTAATTTTTTATTAAAAATTGTGAATATTGCAGGAGGAGTGAATACTATTGGAATTTGTATAGTACCACGAGGATTATCCTAATATTAAATGTCCAAACCCATGGGGCCATTTCTAAAATCATTGAAGCCCCCATTCAAGACAATTTTTATTTGCAACTCCCCCCCTTTCAATATTAAAAGGCTTGTGTTACATGTCTTTTAGTGGTATGGAGAGTGCAGATATAATCTATTTCTGATATATGTATTACTTCTGATGCTAAGTAATAGTATTTAACATAAACAGAATGTTATCATCCCCTGAAACCGATCTTGTTGTAAAATATGTTAAAATCTTTATACAAGACAACAAAATTATACAGGAAATTAGATTTGTAGTTCAAAATCAAACTTCTTACAAGCTAGGAGGTATAAAAAATTACACAGTATTTGATTTTCACATTGTGAGACCTCAAGGCCATGACATTTTATTTTGATATACATGTTTATTTAAAAGACTTTATTAACCTAGCTAGCACATAACTTTTGATTGGTTAGTGCTAAAGCTTTCGTCATTTCCTTATCTTAATTTGTTTTCCTTTTGAAAAGACTTTTCTTTGAGTGATTTTATTCATAGGTAAAATAAAATGCTATCTATAGTTCTATCATATGTTATAAATGGATGATCTTATAATTTTAAGTATTTAAAGATTTCCATGTGCCCTAGGTGCTAATTTTTTCGGTGAACAAACTTACTGAAATATTTACTGCTTTTTCATTGGTTACTTACTACTGGCACATTTCTCTGAACAAAAACTCTTGTAAAATACAAGTGACGCCATTTCCTGCTGAAGTAAATTAATGTACAAAAAAAAGTTAAATGTTAGTTACAGAAAAAGGACTATTCTAATAAATTGTTCATTGAAAATCAAATTTCATTGATGTTATGGATAAAAATTTCTAACCATGCGTAAACCTTGTCTACTCACATTCACTTTCATTAATATCTGTAAGTGTAAATTACACTGTTTATTTCTGGGTAATACCTAACTGAATTTGAACATATTCGTAGAATGTTACGAGCCTGCCAGAACTAGCTAGCTAGATTTTTTG